AAAAAGTGCTCATTTCCTTAATATTTTTCGGGCCAGTCGAAATTAGCAGCTAGGTATCATACTGAGAAATCATATCATAATCATAATCCATACCTGGGTCGTTGGCACGTGACCTCGTTTAACTTGACTCCTGGACTTGCAGGGTATCATATCATAATCATAGTCCATACCTTTGGGATTTCTCTGTTACTGAGATCACACATCTCCCTTTCAGCACCCCCGGTGGCCACCCGTGCACCCACATCCAGGAGCGAACCTTCTGGACGAAGAACGGCCGCTCAACTCGCTACACGTGGGGGACCGGGAACCGAAGACAACGGAAACCCTTCGTTGGACTGTGGTTTTTCTTCCATGTGTTCCCCTAAGGGTCCAGGACCATCCTGAGGATGTCCTTTGACCTCCCAAGACCCTATGGGTTCTCTTTTTTGGGCATGTTCTTTTGGGAGTGACTTCTCGTCGCTTCTCGTGACCAAAGACCACTTTCTTCCGGTGCGCTGAAGTAACTCAAGCCATTCGGACGGTGACTTAACACTCAGGATCCCTAAGGCCCCGGTAGGCTTTTCAGGGTCCAGAACTCCAGTTCGACCTGGAAGTACTGGAAGTTCGACCACTCGCTCAGCTCCGTTCCACCGTCGGAGTCCAGGAGGTTCTGGGACCCGGGCTTAGAGCATTCACCAAGTTGTCCGATGTGCATGTAGATCATGGCCTACTTATCCCAGTACACTGGGATTTGTCCATTAAACCAAGAATCCTTTCAGAGCTGCAAGTTTCGTCGATGGATCCAATTCGGTGGTGTTTCAGCTTCAGTTCAACCCAGAGTGCGCCATTCGGTTGGTTCTTGGTGTCCAGTCAGGACTGGCGTTGGCCTGGGCCCCAAAGGTTCCAGTCTTATTGGTTTGGGTTGACTCTTTCGAGTGGACGCTTCGATTTGGGGATGCTGGGGGGGTAGCTTAGCTGAGGGCTCAAGAGACTGGAAAGAAGGGACAAGAGACAGACAGACTGGAGAAAAATAACTGCAAATACGAGCCTGTGGACAAGGGACTGGGGACGCCGATTCTTCCCCAAGTTCCCCTTAATTATAGAGGTTCTTTAGATACAGTTGACCCCAATGGCTCCGCACGTCCCTGCACGTCCCTGCTCTGAAAAAGTCCCTCCTTCCCAGTCCTTTGTCCCCGAAATCAAAAAACCATTTGCAGTGGTTTCAGAGTAGATGGCACTGGCACCCCAAGAAGTCTTCTAGATCGGGGTCCATATATACACAACCTTTTGGGTTTGCACCATCTACTCTCAATCCAAACAAACCTGTTTCTTTTCTCCAAGTTCCGTCTCCCTAATCTGGTGCCTTTGAGAGCAGTGGCCTTTTCCGCGTTCTCACAGCTCCCGGACTCGTGGAATGAGCCCAGTTTCGTGGCTGAGAAAAAAGGGGCCAGCGATCATGAGGCTCATCTTGGTGAAAGTACCTGGAGTCGACCTGGAGTCGTACCTCGCAAATGGAGCCCCAGTCGAGCCTGTGAAAAAGGAAAAAGGGCCATGTCATCCCATTTTCGGTACGAACTGGAGACTCCAGGTACCTTGGTCGGACAGGTGAATCAGATGCACCACCGTTGATTCGGATGGTCCAGGTGACATTGAACAGCCTTGAGACGTTGGACCCCTCTGAGGGCTTCTCTGAGGGCAAATGGCCCTCTTTGTTGGACGAAGCTGGACTCCCTCCAAAGGCCAAGCATGTGGACTCATCGAGACGAGGCCCTGATGGTGTAGAGCTTGGCGAAGATTGGACTATCACCATCAACATGAGCTGCGATGGAACTGCGCTGCGCCACATTACCTTGGCAGATGGGAATGGTGTTGTGCTTGTAGAGACTCGGATGCGAAGGAAATCGCTTTTGAAATCTGTTGGATGCTTTTGAATACTCTCAGACAGTCAGGAAGACTAAATATACCTGGGGCCGCTTCGACCCCTCTTTTGCTTAAAGGTTCACAGAATGGACATCTGAATGTGCGGATGTTCAAAATACGGCCCTTTGTCAAAAACACGCCCCTTCCAAATTTGAGGGTCTTAAGAAAGTTATCCATTGTTGTTCAGAACCTCATTTCAACACAACATAGTACACCTTGAAGGTGGTAAAACATCAGAATTGTATAAACACCTTCTTGACTCCCATTCAACCCATCCGAGCCCATCCATAGTTTCCCTCACCATCCAATCCCATTCACGGATTCCATTGCCGTTTTCTCCACGGCGCTTCGCCTTTGCCAGCGTTTGTGCCACTTGGCTGCTAAGCCGGTGCTGAGGGCACTGGACGGGCCTCCTCAAACTGGAAACATGGAACAGGTTGGTCATAATGCAAGTCAGGAACTAGTCAGGACATGTTGTCACACATCAGGGTACCCATCCATGCCCCTTTTGTCCAAGTCTGAACTCTTTAAGCAGTCTTGGTACATGATCAATGCCCTTTTGATCAAACTGGTGTGCAAGGAACGAATGCAAACACGGCGGCTGATTCTAGAAGGACGTCCAATGAAATCCTCCTGTATTTGGTTTGTAGCCGATAGGGGATTGTGCACCCAATCCCCCAAAGACGATTGAGAACGAAGATCTTGAGCGCAGTGCGCAATCATGTGAATCTTGGGGACCATAGGGAACCTCCGCTTTCCCTGGGCCACTGTCAACTGAGCGCACTTGGCGTACATCGCCAGAAACCGATAGATCATGCCAGACATTTGGAGCGCCTTGTCCTTCTTGATCCAATAACCGGAGTGGTAGAGAGCTGACATACACACATTCAATACCCGAACTCCTGAAGCCTCAGACCAAACGCATGGATTCCCACAAAGGTTGTTAAAGCTTTAAAGTCATCTACTTGGATTGAGGTTTGGACCCAAGACCTTACACAAAAACTTTCATGAACCAACACTATCTAATTCAGATTGAGAAACAATGGCACAAAGAAGCTCATCGTCCGATTTGTTTTCAATGTAATTCCGGCCAAAGAAGTCCAGAAACATCATCATCTCGGTACTTGCTGCACCCTTTGACCACTTCCCAATGGGGGATGCTGTCGAGGCAGGAAAGTTGAGGGTGTCCCTGGAGATCTCATTCACAAACGGACTAGTGTTCTTGGATTGGAAGTAGCTTCGGTAAATAGATGTCAACCATGTGAACTTGTTCTCAACACTTCCGGGAGGCATTCCTTCAAGATTTGATTCAATGATACACACAAATGAGCAGGCCAAGAAATGTTTTGCCAGCCCCATGTGCAGATTGTGCCACAAATCAGTCACGAAGAAACGCACCTGCTCTGGACCTGTCACGGGCACTCCTCGGAGAATGTTTGGGAGCTCGCCCTCCCATGGTGGTTCCACACCTATTGTTCCCACCCATGATGCGCTTGGATTGACATCTTCGAAAGGGTGAGCTGCATGGCCACGAGCAACATCAAGTTCACGCCCTGCCAGGCACAAGTGACACACACCTGCACATGCTTTCCGGGACACTGCGCCCCTGGCTACATTCCGGTAGCTGCGGCGAAAGCCGCCCATATCCACCAACGCTGGCAGGTCACCTTTGTGGCCAATGTGAGCCATCCAAATCTGAGTTAGGCCATCCTTGGACACAATTCCTGTGCGCAACAACATCTCCACATCCTCTGCGAAGGCTTTCACCAATGTAGGAATTGCCCACGGACATTCAAGTTGAACCGTTTTCAACACTGCCCCAAACATGTAGTTCGTGGTCCACGTCTTCCCAACAAAATTGAGCCCCATGCTGTTGCGCCTCAAGGGCGCCAAATGCTTGCGATCTTCAAGGTACAGCTTAGTACCTCTGCCAATCGCGCCGTGGGCCGAGAGGACCCACAATGGTAGATGCTTGAAGGAACGTCCTTCATCGCTGTGCGAATAGAAAGGAACTGTGGTTTCCAACTGGATTGTGCCCTGATCTGCCAGATCATAGATTCCATGATCTGGATGCAAGTCGCGAAACCTCCTCCAAAACTCTGCCAGAACTGCTTTCATTTTCTGAATGGTGGGCACTCCAACAAGCAGGCGTGAAAACCTGTCGGTATCCAAAAGAAGTTGGGCCCATGAAGAAAACTTGATGATGGGAAAGTTGTTGTACCTTCCAACCCCTAGGTCGACTACATCAATGTTCACTGGCGCGGAGAAGCCAGCTTCCCTCAAGACTCTGTGAACTCCGTTTTCTGCATCTTTCTCACGGACCCTTGAAAATGCCCTCAAAGTTGGACTGGCAGCAGGATTCCTTCGCACCTCTGCTTTGGCCAACTGCACCACGTGTTTGCAAGGGGCCTCGGCAAATCGAATCAATCACAAACACTGTGATCAGTGGGGCTAGGTAAATAAGTAGTGGGTCAGTGGGTCACAAAAAATGCGAGAATGCACAACGACAGAACAATTCATCACAAGCTCAAAAGATTCTAGATGGCTCTAGACTCGTTCAAGTGTGTGGAGAACTGCTTCCCAAAAAAAAGGCAGCAAGGATTTTTTCCCCAAAAGCCCATTGTCAGCGTTCATCCAACTCGGCGCATCTGATCAGCTCTTCCCCCGGTTACGTAGACGTAGTATGGAGGTGGGGGAGGCTCCCTTCTGTTGAGGGCTCCGTCCCCCCCCCGTGCCCTTTTGATTCCGGCAGCCCACATGCATATGGTAGTGTGATACCAGTGCAGCTTCAGCCATATGCACGAGGTCAACGCTGTCAGACTTTGCTATAACCCACATTGATGTGAACCCTAGTTGTTCATAAGATATAAACCTTGTACAAAGGTCCGATGTCACCCCAACCTTAAATATAGCAAGCCTGACGCCCAACTTCTCACGAAAGCATGTGACCATGTCTTTACAATGCTCCAGGAGCACCCCACATGTGGGATTGGTTTTGGTGAGAAGTTTCTCCACTACCCCTTCAGAAGGATCAATCTTGCGATGCGTAGGTTGCGGTTCCTCACGTGGCAGTTGTAGAAGGTAACTGTTTGTTCAAAAATGCACATCAATCCAAGATTGTCCACACTATCACATTGTTCGCTGAGATGCTTCGATGGTCCTTTGCAGCTGCCGCTTCTTTGGTGGAGGCATGAGCTGTGGGGGTTGTGCACACACATGCTGATCACGCTGAAAATAGTCCATATGTAAGTCATCAAGTTCGTGATCAGAGTTGAACCCATTGGGTGTGACTGCAGCTCGAACAGGTTCAGTGTCAGTTGGCCTAAGAGTCACGACTTGTGGTAATCAATGAAGAACCAAATCTGAGCGTTGGTTTGATGATTTGTTTTAGGCCAAGACACTTGGAACACAGGGCAGCAGTGTGAGTAGGCATTGCACTGTCAGCATTAGACTTCTTGTGCATCAGCAGCTCCAAAAGAAAATCATCATCATCATCATCAGCATCCGCCATGGGACGGGTCAGGGAATCAAGCCTGTACTAGAACTAACATTGGTCTAGTGTGGGTTCTTGATTGCATTGTCCAGTCGATACATTAAAAGTATAGGTGAAATACCATACCACGAATGAACACTACAGCTGCGCATCAAACCTTGTGAAACAAGACCCCAGCCCCAACCTACTTGCCCACCAAACAGACCAACGTTCCCTTGAGAGGCCTCAACTGAGCAGCCCGACACCATTTGCTATCAGGCGCGCACAGTGTCGCACCACTTGATCAGGGTCACCACCTGGCCCGAGCTGTCAACAGTAGGCAACAGTGGCCATGCATGCTGATGCATGCATGTATGGGTGTGGATGGGTGTGGACAAAGGGGTGCTTTATGGTGTTCTGCATTGACACCACGCATGCCACATAATAGCTAGAGAGCTGAACTAACACTGAAAGCCGCTGGTTTTTCCCATCTTTTGATCCGAGAAAGCTTTCATCACATGCCGCTTCAGGCGATAATCATCAATGCCAATATTGGCAGCCAGGCGACTCTTCACGTGTTGACCATTCAAAACACATGTTTCGAGTCAGCCAAAGTGGCCCAATGCCAACATTCTCAAAATTGATCCATGGCCACTAGTTAGAAGTGAACCCTAAGGACCTTGAGGCACCATGTGGACCTCCCCAAATGAATCATTCAGATTCACCCATCAGCTTGAAGATGCTGGCCGTCGAAGATTCTTCAGAAGGTTCCTAGGAACGAGAACGCATTCTTTTCCAACCAATCTTCATGCATGAGTGCAATGGCCTTGAAAGCATGTTTGTTCCATACTTCACTAGGCAACACACTTGATTGATATCGATGGGTGCAGCCACGGCACTTTGCTGCAACTTCAGCAGTGGTGACTTTGCTGCACCTTTACCAAACCACACTGCATGTTTTTGGCAGGTGGTTGCTGGAGCATCACATGCCAAACTTTGCGAACAAGGCGCGCCCCAGTAGTTTTACGCATTTGAGAGTCAATCTTCTTCAAGAGCCTGGGGTCAAACATAATTTCAAATCAAAAAGCACACATTAAGCAAAGAAGGAAGCCTGAATAGGTCTTTCGTGGATGAATCCTACAAAACCAACAAAAGTCAAGCGGACACAAAATTGATACAGACGGTAAGGATCCTTACCGTCGCTTCAGTTTTGTGTCCTCTTGACCTGTCTTGGAAACTTGAACTTGAGTCCATAGAAGATGAGGAACTCTTTTGCAAGAGGGTCAGCAATGTCATTGTCATGAAGGGCTCCAACATCCAGCTTGACCTGTTCGCACTGCTCGTACTGATCCTCCAAGGTTTTGCACGCGGCCTCCAAGTTCTCCACGGACCTGAGCTGGCTGCTCGGGATGATGGGTGGGGTGATTGGACAGTGGCGCAAAACCCACAGGTGTATTTGTTTCGAGGTTTTGTTACATGAACATGCATGAACATAATCCTGGCCAAAAAACTTGGAGACACGTTTTCCCTCGGGGCTTTCAGGAGATTTCTTAGCTTCTTCCAATGCGGACTCCAACTGCTGGCACAAATCTGTGAGCTTAGAGGTTCTAGAGAGCAGGCTGTTGGCGAACGTGCTGAACTTGTCAAACTCCTGGAGACGTGTACGGCCGTGTACGAGGTTTCAGGGGCGCCGATACATTACAGAAGTTGCAACTGGATTGAATCTCATATTGTATTTTAGGTAAATCATTGAATAATGTTGCATAGATATTTATTTACTGACAACCCTCAGTGATGTTCCTGCTTGGGTGTGTTGACCTGCTTCGCCTTGCCCTCCTTCTCGGACATGTCAGCGTCACTCTCGGAAGCTGCCCTGGTTCGACCCAGCCTACTGAACTCGACATTGTCATCAGCAACCTAAGGTTCGAGCAGGCGCTTGAAGCTTGAAGAATGGGTTCACAGAACAATGCATGGGCCCCAGAATTAACAAGAAACTTCCTGGTCGACGTGGTCAACACGCTCCTCATCTTCAGACACCTCTTCGTCACCTTCCTCATAGACAACATAGTACTTCTTGAGCTTTTTGTTGTACCGGTCATTCCTCGCATTCCAACACAGTGTGCTGTGTCCTAATTCTTGCACCAAGCCCAACATATGTGTGTTGTGGGTCCCCCCAAACAAACCCGCAAAAGTCAGGTCACCCCGTGAAAGAGATCAGATCTCAACAGATTTTTGCAACCAAGTGCAAGAAAGGTTCTTCACAAGTCGATCAACGTTGCCAGGCTTCTCGCAATATTCCACCACGCTCTTAATGTAGGACCTTGGATGGGATAGGTTGGATTGCGCGGCCACTCCCAGTTGTAACTCTTCAAATTGAAACCTAGCAACACAAGTGTTTGGGACAAAGGACGCACTCCAGTGCAGCACACGGGCCATGGCTTCTTTGGTGAACCAACCACGCTTTTTGGACTTGGTGAGCTTGTTGGATTTGGACAAGGTCTTGGTCATTTTGCTGATGAAAATCTCCTGGGGTCAATGATTGGGGTATCCACTAACTCTTGACAAGGGAGTAAAATGTAGCAATGTGCATATAGCCCTCTTTCAATAGAAAAAGACAGTCAAGTCAACCCTGGTTATCCTTGGACCATCCACTTTTCTCAAGTTCTTCAATCATTGCTTCTTTCTCGTCCCTGGTGGAATTCTTCCATCGCAAGTGGATCGCCTCTGGGACGTTGCATTTCCCACTCGGCTTCTTCTCGCATAGCCGCCTCAACCGGTTGAGGCGTGCTCCTTCAGTCTCCGGGGGCTTGAGCTCTGGTGGAGGCAAGACCTTGGCCTTCGGCCCCGGAGACGGGGCTGGGACCTTGGGCGGTGGAGTCTCGTATGGGTTCTTGGAGCTCGAGCTGGGGGCCTTGAGTTTCTCCAATTCCTCCTGCATACGTTGGTTGGCCTTTCAGGGTGACACCAGCCCTTGATGAAGTGGTTGAGACTTATATAGATCAAACCATATTGAAACAAAACAACCTGTTGGCAATACACACACCTTTCGGAGCTCATCCAGCTCTTTCTTCGGGTCCTGCTCAGGCTGCTTGCCTCGGGCCCGCTTTGGTGCATTAGGATTCGGTGACGCCTGATCCTTCTTCTGTGGGCTGCGAAGATGTTTCTCAGGTGGAGGTGGTCTCGCTTTGGACTTGGCCGAAGTTGGTCCCGATGGTTTTGCTCTCGACTTTCGAAGCTCTTGTTCGGTCGCCTTATGTTGATTGGACTTTGAACTTGACGGCACATGTTCCCAAAATCAAGAAAGACAAACCCAACATTGTTATAAGGGTGCGATGCCCTATGCGCATTGAACTCGTGTTTCATTAGCCAAGATGCTGGTTGTGTTTCCGCTTCCTTAAGGGTCTGAAGGAGCATATAACATAAGTTTTTGCTTGATTCACTGAATGCAAAAAACATTGGTTCACGATCAGGGTTCAACATGCGAGGCTAGAGTCAGAAGCATCAGTGGCTGCCTTCGCCGCCTTGAGTTGTTCAAGCTTTCGCTCATACTCCTGCAGGTGAACTATCTCGAACTGGGAGGGATATTTCCATTACAGGTGCTGAGTGGTAAAAGTTCACTTGACAACACTCCTTCTAATTTGATCCCCCAGTCTCCTCAATCTCCAAATCAACTTGGGCTTTTCCGGCGGATTCAGTCTTCACAGCAAGGAGTTTCTGGTGCCCATCCTTTAGCTCTGAACAGCTCCATTGTCTAGACCTAACCTGCTGCTTACCTTTGGGGTCTCCATCGGATCTGCCCATGATCGACACGCGCGCAGGTCAAGCGTTGGATGGAACCAGAGCCGAATCCTTCTGGAGGCACCGGAATGACAGTGGGTGACTGGATTTTTGATTGTTATTAATGAAGTACAACCCTAATTATGTTAAAGCAGTTCGATATCGATTCAAGAACAACCTGGCATTGGGAATACCTCACCAAAAACGCTATAAACCACACAAGTCCAGATATAGCCAAAATACGGAAATAGTACGTATTCTAGTACGGAAAAATACGTCCCTTGTACGCAAAAACACGCCCCTTGTACGGGTACGGGTTGGGGTACGGGTCCGGTACGTACTTTATCCGTATATAATACGTATTCTGGTGGTTTTCTCCTTTCCAAGCTGAAATGCATATGTTTTCATTGAAATATAGTTGAGAAACAGTCAAAAAAGGTTGCGTTGAGGTGAATGCCGCTGAAAGCATTTGGTATGGACCAGAATCCTGGTCAAACATACATGACAGCCAAAACAATCCCCAAACAACTATCTTTCAAGCCTGCCGTTGGGATGTCCACGGATCCAAGCCTTGCCTGCAGTAAGTTGAACTGAGGCAACACCAGTTGTAATGATCAACAACTGAAAAGTGCAACCTGGTTCATCGTTGGAGCTAGTGGCACCAACACCTCGTCTACAATTTCATCATTGGTCTTGAAATGGGATGTCGGTATGTTGGCAAAGCTATGAACAATCATTGTGATCAATATTGCTTGAACAGATTGATTGCTTGAAGGTTGTTGGGAGCCACAGCTGTAGTTTTGAAACCAATTAAACTGTCTTGGGAAATAGGTGCCTTTGCTCCCCAAGATATAATCCTTTCGCTCCGCGAAGGTAGAAGAACACTGCCTTCATATTGGAATCACACCACCAATCAGTGAGCGCCCAATCCAAGGTCTCAAACAAGAGGATCCCCAAGTCCACATTGTTTGCTTCAATGTGGGTCCCAAAATCCAACGACCTTTTGGTGCAGAAGCGGCTGTGTAGTTTTGCCAGCTTCATACCAAATCTCGGCGGATAGGTCCTCAGCAATTGCCGGGCAAGAGGGGGAACAAGTCAACCACTGACAAACATCCACCAAATCCGTTCATTTAAAATCAGTGCTACAGAAACTTATGTGCATATGGCTGTCATGTCGTTCTTCATTGGAATAGAACATATATATAATAGTATAAATAGTTTGTTAGTATATAGTCTAGTACATTCAAGGGCACAGGCATGTTGGTAAGTTAAACATTGGCATGGGCGATGGGTGATCCATTGGGTATGGGTTCAGTTGGAAGTGGACATCTGTGGATTAGAAAGACAGCTGTTCATGGGGTTGGTTGCTCAAGGACCGGAGGGGGGCAGTTGCCCAAACAATCAATAGAGATGTGAGATGTCTCAAGAAGCACCCTAAAGCTCTTAAAGGAACCACGGTCTTGGAAACTTTTGGGATTTCTGGCTCTTGGATCTTTTTGGGACATATAAAACCACCAGCCAAGCATTGCAGGAGTCTGTGTAGACTTGAGAAGTGCAGAGCCGCACCATGAAACTTTGCCCGTCCGGCTTTTATATTTCCGGGTGGAGTTGAAAGCTTTCTTGGCGTGCAACGCCTTGATCATTTTCCCCAAGTCCAGTAGCTGCACTGTTCTACTGTTTGACCAAGCGATGTGGCGCTTTGCAGTTCCAGCTCCATACATGCAAGCCCACCACCTGGCTTCAAATACCTTCAGGGTCAAAAGATTTGTATAGAAACCAACCTTGATTTGGTAAGTCAATCTCAAGATATCTCACCCGTGAACACAATTTTTACTTGGCAACTTGGCGCAGCTTGATATACAAACCATGCTGCTAACATGCACTGAAACACCACACCTCAGGAATAAGTCTCCACAGCAATCTAACCCGGGGATGCCAAATTACTTTGCTGGAGCGTGGCTGCTCCAGCACCCACGTTCCCCCCCATCGCAGTGATTGCCAGGATCAGAAGCACAACCCTGGCAGAAGGAGTGATGACACTGGCATGGGTTGGGAGCTGTATTTGGGTAGCGCAAGTTGCAAGATCCCTTTTGGTTCATTGAGTGTAGAACTGTTTGAGCATAATGTTAGCTATATGTTTGAAGCCTGCTTAGGTTAACGGTGATACACAATCACACACATACGAACATCGCACGTCATATCGTTCTCAAGTTCTATAAGGGATGCAAAATCATGGTGCAACTGATAAGCTCAGTCAAGCACCTGCTCGTCATCTGGTTCCCGCGCGATACAAAGCCATGTTCTTCAATACCAAGTGGAAACCACGGTGAGCGGTAGTGTGTACCTGAAGACACTGTTACCCATGACGAGCACACCAATCCTATGACCACCAGGAAGTTCTCGAACTTTGCGTTCAATATCGAGAGGAGGATTAGCCTCACTCCAGCACAGTTAGTGCAGAAGGCCCAGATTGAACAATCGGTTTTGGGTGTGCCATGGCATGCTCAAAACATCCAATTGATCAGAAGTCTGATTTGCAAACTAAGAACGCAAATCCTGGATCAGACAGAATGTTCATAGCATCCTGTTTCCCCTCCAATGGCTGCCCATAGTCAATGTCAAAAGCTGCTGATGGGATTCCATTCACTTTCATCAGCTTTGTTACCCATCCTTCTCCAGCAAAGAGTTCAAGAAAACCATAGGCCTGGGGTGCACAGACAAGGTCAGGCCGGGAAGCCGGAAATACAAACGCCCTTCATGATGTCAGCTGGAATGCAAAATAGTCTTGCAAGAGTCTTGCTTAATTTCACGGTTGGTCATACTCTAATTGTTACTTAAACGATTGCAGATTTGCGAGGCACATCTTTGTCACCTATTCACTCCAAGACGCCTCGCTGAAGACAGGCGTGTCTGGGTTCAATGCCAGGAGCATGATGCAAGCCATGAGCACCTTGGATAGCACGGAGGCCCAGGCATGGCAAAAACGTGGCAGGACACAAAACTGAACATGGCCACAAGGACTCTTGCGGCCACTTTCTTTTTTTGGGGGCTGTCAACCTACATGGGTGATCTGAATCTGGCAAGCGACTGGCTCAGGGAAGGCTAGGATGGGTTTGACAATGTTTGGACTCTCCTTTCAGCCTAGAAACTTTTGGCGCCCCTATCAAGTACAGGCGTTGCAGTACTATGTTGAGTTTCCATCGTTTTGTCGGCTCCATAAGCTCCATTGCCGGACTGAACGTCGAAAAGCACTGTCGCTCGACCCGCCCGCGGCCCCAAACCAGAATGAGCTGAGGGGAGAGGCAAACGCTTTTCGGCTGGTCACATGCTTTGTGGATATTGATTTGTTTTGGATAGGCTTTTTGAACCTTCGCTCACAAACCACATCCTATCAGATGCAAGAAAGCAATCCTGCAACAATGAATGGTGGCCCAAATTTGACTTCTCATTCCTCTTAGCAGATAGCGGCCGCGCCAGCACTGAAATCAGAAATAACATGTCGGCAATGCGAAGGTCATTCTCACCAATGACCGCTTCATCCTCCGCCATGGCCTCAGAAGCCAGCCCAATGATTGGCAACTGAGAATGAAGCACTGGGGTGGATACAGTGGCACAGTGATGTCCTTCCTTTAAATTTGCCACTCAACTCTGACTCTGATTGTGGCGTGTTTGTTGTACATGCACTACATGTGCATGAGTGCATGGACGCCTGAAATCAAGCTTGAAACATGAAGGTTTCCAAACCTTCAAAGTGGAGGAGGGGGGGAACCTGAGCATGCAGCATGAACCATAAAGTCAACATGGTGATGAAGGTTTCCAAACCTTCAAAGTGGAGGAGGGAACATGAGCATGCAGCATGAACCATAAAGTCAACATGGTGGTGTTGGAGGTCAGCAATCCACATGGCCCCATTTTCCAGCATGTTCAGCGACAACGGTGGCCAACTATCATGATGGCAGCTCTTGTGATTCGCACCATGTTGCAGCACAGCGTCTGACTTCAGTCCTCAACCTGTCCCATGTACCACAATGAACGATGGTGGTCAAACACGCTGTTACTCTTTAAGTCTAGCAGTCAAATCCTCGGAATCGATCAATGATTGAACTGAATGGTGACATGAGTTCGCTCGATGAAACAAACACGACTGCAATGTCAGCTGGCTGCTGCCCTATCGTTGTGATATTGCTGACTGAACTGGAACCCAGATTTTGCAGGCTTTCGCCAAACTAGGTACCCAGAAAGCATAGCTGACCCCCAGCACTGGCTGGCTCATCACCAGGTACTATAGAAACCACAGCTTTTCAGCATGTTGCTTGTGGACAAATAAACACTACTCTGAAGCTAGTAAACCAATGTTCAAAGTAGTTGTTTGCCAGACCCCTGGCTGAAGCTATGCAGGTCAAAATGGAAGGCCAGCTCAGCTCTTCTTTGGCTGGGCCAGGAACTCAGCCGCAGCAGAGAGTGCCAAGTCCTTGATGTTGTCAGCCTGCACATCTTCCTTCACCCACTTCTCACTCGCATAGGTCCAGAACTGCGCCTAGCATCTTAATTTGAAATCGTTTGCTGGTTGGCATGTTGGAACCAATCCAAAGAGTGCATATTGTTTATAGATGTGCCACATTGAGAGTATAGTCATAGTTTTCTTTATCTATGGCAATCGAACTGGCACAGGGATGCCAAAACAGGAGAACATGTTGTTTGCGATC